TGTCACGGCCCAAACCCGCTCCTATGGGTTTAGCATCATAACCGGCCAGTACTCTTGGGATTACCAAAGGCCTCTGAGACAGATTAACATAATATTAGGGGCTAGCGGAAGCAAATAACAATATACAACCTCCATTGAGCTGTGCAGACTTATATGAGACAGAAAAATTTTAAACTTTTTATACACACATATACACATTAACTTTAAGTCGTCATATAAACACAGATTAGACAAAAGGAACTTAACCCTATTTACAAAATACACAAGACTTGTTCAACCAAACACGAAAATAAAACTTAAACTTTAAGTTACATAGCAGTAATCACTTAACATATCCGGAACCTCCATGGGAGGCACATAGGTTGGCTGACAAAACTGATTCTAGGCAGAAGCCTTTAAGCCTGGCCACACGCTTGATCACCTACATACATAAATAATACAGTGAGCTAAAGCCCAATGAAAAATAACAGAGTAAAGGGTTTTAATGAATGAGTCCGTGCAGATTCAGATATCATAATTCAGTTTCGTATCAAAATCATACTTTGCCCAGATCATATACAAAAATCATAAGTCATGCTTAAGTTTACGTGATACATCCATTAGCATTAACAGAACAAAACACATACGCGTACGGTTACGAATAACCAGTTCCATAAAGGAACCTTCGGTACCGGGTAACATATCCGTGCCACGGTATTGTTTCCTCCGGGCGAGGGCCTGTGCCACGGTATTAACCCCCGGGCTAGGGCCTCATGACCATGTGCCTCAGTATTGTGTCCCCTGGGCGAGGGCCTCAGCTAAGGATACCACGTTTACATTTCAAGGAAAATTGGACAATCATTCATTTATTCAAAACATAGCATTTTAGAACTTATCATCTCGTGTCATTGGAAAATAATTAAAGTTAAACATAACTTTACAGAGTTATTACTCACAGATGGCTGCAGAAGCAAATCAGATAGACTGGGCATATCAGATAAATCAGGCAGACAATGGCGCGCGACCTACACAAGTACATAACATATACACATTGAAATAAAATATTACTCCCTCGATCAAACTTGACTTTTCTAGTCTTTTTTCGTGTAAATAGTCCGAAGTTCTACTATGCTTATTCTTTCTCATTCAAATAAACCGGGTCCTTATTTCACATATTCTTTTATTACTAAGCCCTTCCTTTCCAAATAGATTGATCTTTTACTTGGCTTCTTAAACAATTACCACTAGATCAATGATTCATTGCTTAACTAACTAATCTTTTTTGATTGGTAGCTTATTAATCCTTATTGAATCACAAATCATGTCTAGAGTGCTTTGGAAAGAGATGAGGAATAAAATATGAACTAAATGCAACTTTCCAAAATATGCTGAAAATGGGTCTCAGCTCGAGCGCCACTTTGATCGCTCGAGCGGACTGTAAAATTTGAAAACTTCTGGGAGCTCGCCTTCCACACTCGAGTGAGACTTTCCTCGCTCGAGCGGACAACGCAAATTCTGAAAATTCTAGAATTGCAATTTAAATTCAATTTTGGTAATCAAAGCCTCAAAACATGTATTTTTGGTACACAAAAATAGAGAACCACTGTATGATTTAGTAAACGCTTCCAATTAGAAAACATTCATTCAAAATCATGTTCCAATTGTCCAAATTTAGTTTTAATTCATCTTATTAATATCAACCCACAATTCTGAGATATAAATTAGGCTTTCCAATTCTTGAAATTACATGATGCATGTGTGATTGAAACTCAATTTCTTATAAGACAAATAAATTCAAACCCAAAATGGTCATTTTCAAATTAACTTCTATGATTTTGAATCTAATTCAATTCCTACACCATTTTACTAATTCTTTTTAATGTACATGAAATTGAAGTTATAGGATCCTTAGGAAAATATTTGCATGTATGACATTAAGATTAAAACTAATTAATTTTCTGTATTCAAAATTAAATCAATGCTTAATTTTCCATAAACTCATACTCTTTAATTTGAATAAAACTTTTAAATTAAAATTAAACCAATTCCTATCTTTCATAGTAAAACCAAGAACTTGTCTAAGTTTAGGATTAACCCCCAATTTCCATAAACTTAATTTTTCGTATCAATTTCCTTCTAATCCCATAAAATTGATTTCTAACTCTTTTCTATCCTCTTAAATTATGAAATTGAAATTATAAAACTCTTAGAAAAGTATTTGCATGTGTGAAATTATAATCAAAATCAAACCATCTACATCAAAATCCTTTTAATTCAAAATTAATGCTCAAAATGTTCATGAATTTATAATTTACCACAACTTCTTCTTCTTATATCCAAACATGAAATTAATTCTTCAAATCTCTTAAAATTTCATTGATGCATGTAAAGATGAAGCCCAAATTCATGAGGAAAACACAATTTAAACTTAAAATAATTAATTTCTAATTTATTTTCCATAATCATCCACATGCATGTAACCCATTTTAAATTAACTTCCATAATCTCATACTTAAGTTAATTTTTCTTCATCTTCTTGTTATTGATTCCAATTTTTACCTTTAATTACAAGCATAATGTAAAGATTCTATAAAAATTAAGTATGAATCCATACCTTAAACTTTAATTTCAACATTTTAATTGATTCTCCTCTACTTCCCCTTTTCTTTTCTTCATTTCTTTCTCCACGGTTTGCTCTCACCAGATTTGACCTCAATGCATATATATAGATAAAGAAGTTCTCTCTCTCTCTCTCGGCTGTGTTCTCTTTTCTTAAGCCCAGCACACATGCATCTCCTTTTCCTTTCTGATTTCATTTCTCTTGCTTGAAATTAACATAATATACACACATGCCCACTTTATGGCTCCACACGTGCACATACTTAGGCCTTTCTAGAATTAAGTTATTAATTCATATATTAATTAAATTAAATTCCACTTAGTCTTAACAAATTATGATTAACACTTAATCTTAATAAATCTCAACTAGCACATAATTTAATTAACCAAAATTAATTACAATTCCCACATAATTTAATCAGTCTAATTTGACTTCCATTAGGGCCCAATTAATTATAATTAAATTTATCACTCTGAATCAGATTTTTAATCAAACTCCTAAAAGGTTCCAAATATTAAATTAAACTTATTTTCATCGTCAATTTTGATTTCTCAAATCATTTAAGCCTTCAATTTTTAATCAGACACCAAATCTTCGTCAATAAATTACATATTCAAATTGGACCTCCCATAAATGAATTTAATCCATAATAATCACAATTCTTAATCCTCATAATTTAATTAGCTTGATCAACTCCAATTAGCATCTAATTAATCGAATCTCAATTTTACTAAACTGAAATGAATATTTAATTAAACTCCCAAATGGGTCCATAATTAAGATTAAATTGATTCAACTTCTTCACTTCACTTCCTTAAGCCATTTGGACCCTTAATTTGTAATTCCAAAATAGATCTTTAATAGAATCATATACGAGTCAGATCCCACAATTCCCATAAATACCAAATTAAATTATAATACTCGGCAATTAAATCTCAAATCCTCTTAATTAATCAAGTACTAATCATTATTCGTGATGTGGTCGTTACAGCCTTCCCCCCTTAGGAAGTTTGGTCCTCCAAACTTAAGATACTTGTACCGAAAATCAGTTATATAATTTGGTCTCATTTCATTCATTCCGCTCGAGCGCCATATTCCACGCTCGAGCTTATTTTTCATGCAACCAGTACTTTTGCAGGCCTTAAGGGTCCGCTCGAGCGGGGAAGTCCACGCTCGAGCGGGGACCCTGTTTTCTGAAATTTTGAAAAGACATTGTGTGTTTTATTTTCTGTTCTATTTCACTTCCAAGTACTCTTTGGCATGTATTGAGCATTGTAATTTAGTTAAAGGCCCCGTTTGTTTTGAGAGAGGAAAATGTGAATTTAGAATGGATTGAACTATTTGTGACCCATACGTGTTATGTGATGTGTAGGGTCAAGCTCTAGGGCAAATCCACAAGCCGATCACTGTGATTAATATCTGAAATACGTATTGTTGTCCAATTGCTTACTTCTGTGTAAGTTTTGCAAAGTTCATTAATATTGAATGGTGGACAAGTTTGATATGAAAGGCCTACAAGCCAGTTTGATATGAAAGGCCTATGAGCCAGTGTGACCCGAAGGGGTATATGGGCCGAAGGCCGTTTGATATAAATGTGGGCCGAAGGCCGATTGACATAAACGATTGGGCCGAAGGCCGATGGACATGAATGAATTGGGCCCGAGGCCGTATGATGTGTTTGGAACCTCAGTTACTTAACTTACATATGTCTACGTATGTATGTATTAGTTAGAAATGCAAATTGGGCCCAAGGCCGTTTGATGTATATTGTTCCAACGTATATTCTTTATTTGATATTATTCACTGGGCTATCGCTCAGGCTCATTCATGTATTTGTAGGTGAGCCCAGAGACGTCCAAACCCAGCCCTAGTGAAGTCTATGTGGAACAACAGAGGTTTTGGAAAGTCAGCCCTTATGTCTCACGCATGAGACCCACCTTCGCCTTTTTGTCATTTTGTTCTATGTTGTCATGTTGGCGAAGTTTTTGTATATGTCTGTTTATAGTTTTTATGGGTTGACTTAGTTTTGGATGATCCTGTCTGTACAGAACTTTATGGTACCGTATTCTGTTGTGAGTTATTAACATGTATTTGTTTGGAATGTTATAATGTGCATATAAGCACGGCTCTATGGACAAAGTTTTAAATTTTTGCTTATGTTTAGCCCCTCTTACTCTGATGAGTTTTTGTCTTATTTGGTTTGAGGCCGTAGGTAATCTCGTGATTACTGGCCGGTTATGGCCTAAACCCATAGGGGCGAGTTCGTGCCTGTCATGACCTTGAACTAGTAACTGTAGTGTTTGCTTTGAAAATCTAGCGTCATTACTTGTATGGGGTAACTTGTGAAGTGTATACCGACCATAAAAGCCTGAAATACTTCTTCACCCAAAAAGAATTGAACATGAGACAGAGGCAGTGGTTAGAACTGATCAAGGACTATGACTTACAAATTTTGTATCACCCAGGGAAAGCTAATACTGTGGCAGATGCTTTGAGCCGAAAATCAATGGGAAGATTATCATGTCTGCTTACTAGCCAGAGAGAACTGCTGTGTGATTTGGAAAGGAATGAAATCGAGATTGTGATACGGGAACAGGGCGGAATACTAGCCGCTATCTCTGCAAAGCCTGTGATCATTGAAGAAATCCGAGAAAGGCAACTTGAAGACGAGTACATGAAAAAGATCATGGAAGAACTTGATTCCAAGCCGAGACCAGGGTTTGTATTTGAAAATAATGTGCTGAAATTCCAGAACCGTCTTTGTGTACCTGATTGTGGTGACTTGAGGAAACGTGTTATGACCGAAGCCCACAGTAATAAATTTGCTATGCACCCGGGGAATACGAAGATGTATCATAATTTGAAACAGAATTTTTGGTGGCCTGGAATGAAAAGGAGTATTGCTGACTTTGTGGCTAGATGTCTACTGTGCCAACAGGTAAAAGCTGAACACCAACGACCCGCCGGTTTGCTACAACCACTCCCAGTACCGGAATGGAAATGGGAGCACATTACCTGGATTTCATTGTGGGATTGCCTCGTTCTTCTCGAGGTATGGATTCTATCTGGGTTATAGTTGACCGTTTAACTAAGTCTGCCCATTTTCTGCCTGTCAAAACTATCTATAATGCTGATAAATTGGCCAATATCTATATGACTGAAACTGTGAGATTGCATGGAGTGCCAGTATCTATTGTGTCTGACAGGGACTCAAAGTTTGTGTCGAGATTTTGGCAGAGTTTGCAACAAGCTTTGGGGACTGAATTAAGACTGAGCAGTGCCTATCACCCACAAACAGATGGCCAAACTGAACGAACAAATCAAACTTTAGAAGATATGCTCAAAATGTGTGTGTTAGACTTTCAAGGGAATTGGGAGACTTACTTGCCATTGGCCGAATTTGTGTACAACAACAGCTACCACTCAAGTATTGAAATGGCGCCTTATGAGGCCTTGTGTGGAAGGAAGTGTTGTTCTCTGATATGTTGGGCTGAAGTAGGTGACAGACCTTTGTTGAGGCCAGAACTTGTGCAAGAAACAACCGAGAAAGTGAAACTGATACAACAATGTCTGAAAACTGCGCAGAGTCGGCAGAAAAGCTATGCTGATGTCCGCAGGAGAGATAGGGAATACGAAGTTGGAGACCACGTGTTCATCAAGGTGACCCCGATGAAGGGTCAAACTCTGTTTGATGTGAAAGGAAAACTGGCGCCAAGGTATGTTGGACCTTACGAGGTTCTCGAAAAGATCAATCCGATGTCGTACCGGATAGCCTTACCTCCGTAATGGAACATATGCATAACGTCTTTCATGTATCGATGCTTCAGGAATATTTGAGAGATCCACTCCACATCATTGAACCGACACAAGTGCTTTTGAAAGATGATTACACCTACGAGGAGAGGCTTATTCAGATTGTGAATCGCAGAATCAAGAAGTTGAGGAATAAAGAAATATCGTTGGTAAAAGTTGACTGGAAAAACCACGGAGGAACCTATGCAACTTGGAAAACCGAGGAAGACATGATGAAAAGATATTCAGATTTGTTCCCGTTGGACCCAATGTTGATTCAGAACGAAGGTAATTCGAGTTTGGAGACCAAACTCTTTTAAGGGGGGAAGACTATAATAACCCCGACCTCAAATTAATGCTAAAACATGATTAATTATGCCTAACAGTAATTTAGAAGGAATCTGAGATTAAATTGCATATGTATTGCATTATTTATGTGTTTCTATCTGTTCAGTATGAAATGATCTGTTCAGGATACGACCTTAAACTGCGAATTGAAAGCCTTATCGGCGCCCGATTTCGAAATTGATTAGTGTTATGTACTAGTTAGAATTTATGTGACTTTATGGTGTATTTATCTGAAATGTGATTTGGTACGATTAAATTAGATTAAATAAAGCTAAATTACAAGAGTTGGACTTAATTGCCACTTTGCCATTAGTGGGCCACTTTAGAACCATTGTTTGGAGTGTGATTTATATACATCTCATATCATTCCTTCAGCTATTTTGCTAAGTCCAACCGACTAAAGAGGGAGAGGTAGGAGTTAGCTTGATTCAACAAGATTTTTGGCTTGAAATTATAAGAATTGAAAAGTAATTTGCTTAATTGAGCTCCCCTACCTTGCATTCAAGACTTAAGGTAGAAGATTCATCCTCTCATTTATGTATTCAAGTTAGTTCTTGCATGGCCCATGGTTAATTAGTGATCCAAGTCAAGAATTTGCTTAAGAGTGTTGAATTGAAGCTTAAATCTTGCATGCATGTTCTTACATTAAAGTTTTGAGGTTGTTTCATGAGAATTGCCACATGCATGTTCATATCTTGAGTATAGTCCATGATTTCATCTTGTTTTGAAAGGATTGGCTCATTTGAGCAAGTAATTAACGCTTTGATTTGGTTTAAACTCATGCATGTCACATTTGAAATGTGTTCTTGAACTTTGGTTTGAAATTGTGTTTAATTGAACCACCATTGGGCTTTGATTTCTGAAATTGAGCTTTGAAACATGTTATACTATGAGTTTACAAGTGTTTTTCCAGAAAATTAGCCCAAGAGGATCGAATTTGATGCATTAAAACTTGGTTTTGAGCTTGAAGGTCCAATCTGGAATTTCCAGAATTTAGACTCACGCTCGAGCGGGGAAAGTGGTGCTCGAGCGTGGAATTTGACCATCCAGTACTTTGCACTGTTTCACAGTCTGCTCGAGCGGGGAATCCCACGCTCGAGCGGGACCCCAGTTTTCTGAAAATTATGAAAAATATTTTCTAAGGCATTTTTGCATCCTCATTCCATCCTAGGCATTCCTAGGCCATGTTTAAGACTCCATAATGAGGTTAATAGTTAAACACACACTAAGAATAACGAAGTTCATTACGTCTAACTCGAGCGTGTGTTTCAGGCGGGTAATTGTATGCGTGTTCGTGTAGACCTCAGGACAAGTGAAGAGCCATTTGACCATCTAGTGAGCCGACCAATTGTTGTGAGTAATAACTCGTTAAAGTTATGTTTAACTTTAATTATTTTCCAATGACATGAGATGATAAGTTCTGAAATGCTATGTTTGAATGAATGAATGATAGTCCAATTTTCCTTGGAATGTAAACGCGGTATCCCTAGCCAAGGCCCTCACCCAGGAGGACACAATACTGAGGCACATGGTCATGAGGCCCTCGCCCGGGGGAAAGAATACCGTGGCACAGGCCCTTGCCCAAGGGAAAGAATACCGTGGCACAGGCCCTCACCCGGGGGAAACAATACCGTGGCATAGATATGTTACCTGGTACCGGAGGTTCCATTATAGGACTTACTATGCTTGACCAACACGATATGTTATGCTAAGGGAGGTGTACCACACATGATTTGAATATGGATATGGCTGTAGTTCTTTTCTGATACGAATATGAATATGAATATAAATATGCCTACGTTTCCGATCTGATAAGAGATTGATTTTCTGATTTCTGCATTCAATATGGTCATCATTCATTAAACCCCTTTACGTTGTTATTATTCACTGGGCTTTAGCTCACTCCTTATATTACGTATGTAAGTGAGCAAGTACGAGACCAGGCCCGGGGTTGATGACCTGCACCCCAGTTTTGTCAGCCAACCGTCATGCCTCCCGAGGAGGTTCCAGTTGAAGTGAATTGCCATGGCTGTTTTTGTAGTTATGCTAGTCTTCGTCTGTTTGTAAAGTCAGGACCTGGGAACTACAGTTTGTAAATAATATTGTAAATATTGGTGTTCCTTGACTAGCATGCTTATGATCATAAATAAATTTGACTTACTTTGTCCCATGTACGTCATCACAGCACTCCTATCAGCACTAGTCTTCACCTTTCCAAAGAATCTCTAGTACTAATGTTGATCCTATCCTTTATAGGGGTATGATAGGGAGTCTCTTGTACCTCACAGCCAGTCGTCCTGACATTGCAGTTAGTGTAGGTGTTTGTGCCCGTTACCAAACCTGTCCTAAAGAGTCTCATCTTCTTACAGTCAAACGCATCATTCAATATGTTAATGGGACATTGGGTCATGGGATTTGGTTCACAACCGGCATTACAGTTGAAATCACTGGTTTATCTGATGCCGATTGGGCAGGGTGTGGTGATGATCGTAAGAGTACATCTGGGGGGGTGTTTTTACCTTGGAAATAATCTGGTTGCCTGGCATAGCAAAAAGCAAAATGCCATCTCTCTTTCGACCGCTGAGGTTGAGTACATTGCTGCAGGGAGTTGCTATGCACAAATGTTGTGGATGAAGCAAATGCTTCATGATTATGGAATAGACCAGAACACTCTCACCATTTTTTGTGATAACACAAGTGCCATTAACATTTCTAAAAATCTTGTCCAACACTCATGCACCAAACACATTGACATTCGTCATCATTTTATTCAAGAGTTAGTGGAAGAAGGCCTTATTGTTCTTGAACATGTTCCCACTAAGCATCAAAAAGCTAATATTTTTACAAAACCCCTTGATCTTCTTAGGTTTGAGTTCCTTAGAAAGATCTTGGGTGTGGTGCTCGGTCACTCGGGTGTTACCTGTTACTTGAGTGGGAGTGGGAGTGGGTGTGAGTGATTGCTTTTATGTGTACTTGGATGCTATAATCTCATTTTCATTGATTCTTGTCATCTCTGCAGTTAGACTTAAATGAATACCTCTCATGCTGCTAGAAAGATTTCATTCTTTTTTGTTCATAGCTCATTTTTAATGCCCATGCTCATTGACTTCATGATCTCATTCTGTACATATTCTTGAGATAAGCTGTTACAGGGGTTTCTACACAAGTGATCAAAGTTCTCTATAGACCTCTAGCAATGTCATTTTAACATTTTCAGAGGAATTGACCTATACTAGTATATCATGGGTGATGTTGAGTCTCTTAACCATCTGCCATCGTTTTTCACTTCCATGGTTCCTCCCTCAATTCATTGAAGTTTGGGCATTAGGAAAAGGCTACCTCAGAGGCACCAACCAGGCCATCCTTACTAATTTTGTGCTTCTTGGATAATCTTGTATGTTTTAAGGTACAAATCTGAACTTCCTTACTTGCTCCACCATATTATTTTTGTCGTTTTCTTCTTGTTCATTGTTTTCAGTGTTTTTGGTTGCTTTGAGTGAGGGGGAGTTTGGTCTATCATTGCTTTGAGTGATGGGGGAGTTCAGGTTATCCTTACATTGATTGGTTTGGTAAGGGAGATTGGCATTAGTTGGTTTGTATGTTGCTATCCACTGCTTGTTTATTACTTACTTCTCGCAGGTTCTTAATTTTTACATCTTCAACATCATCTTGTCCTTGCTTGTGTGGTGCTTTCGTTGTTTAAGCTTCCTTTGACAATTCATGACAAAAAGGGGCGAAGTTTGAGTGAAAATCAAAATGGTTTTTGAGCGTGTTTGCATGTTTCTTAGGATTGTCATCTATTCATGCGACATGTTTTTTAAATCTCTTATTGTCATCTATTCATGCTACATGTTCTTTAAATCTTTGATTGTCATCTATTCATGTTACATGATACATGCTACATGTTCTTAAAATCTCCAATTTACATATATTCATATTTCCATCTCTTGCTTCAAGATCATCTTGTCATATGTCTATTGCTTTTTCATATACTCTTGTGGCACTAATAGTTGTTTTGGAGATTGTGGCACTAATAGCTGTTTTGCAAATCGTGACCTTGAGAAAGAAGTTTGCTTTTGTTGGCTGTAATGGGTTGAGGTGATTAGGATTTTAGTTGTTAGGTGTGTTTTGTCACGGCATTGCCAAAGGGGGAGATTGTTAAGTTTTATTCTTGGCAATCCTGTTTGACAAAACTCCTTTCAGTTGTACTTGTATTCGCACTTTTTATTTCAGTGAGGCTATGAGTTTTTAGATGCGAATCTAACCCGAATTGTGTCTTTCAAAGATATTTCGGAAGTTAATTCTTTCATGCTTGCCACATCACTGACTATGTCAGGGATCGAACTGCCCGGTCAGCTCGCTGGGGTCTAGGAGGCAATGCCTCTTGGCGGGTCCAAGGCAGCACCACAGCGGGGTTGAGGGGCAGTGCCCCCAAAGCAAAATGTAAAAATACATTCGAAGTTGTTTGTCCGCTCGAGCGGCCGTTTGTGTGCTCGAGCAGGGAATATTTGGTTCCAGAAGTTTGACCTGTCTGCAAAAGTACTGGAAGTTGGGATTTTACACTCGAGCGAACTTTCCTGCACTCGAGCAAGGTCCGCTCGAGCGGTCATTCCTACGCTCGAGCGAAGATCGCAATTCAGTTTTTT